TTGGCCTGGGGACTGAAAGGTCCTGGGTTCAATTCTGGTCAAGGGCACATGCCTGGGTTGCGGGCTCAATCCCCAGCAGGGGGTGTGCAGGAGACAGCCAATCAATGATTCTCTCTCATCATTGGTGTTTGTATCTCTCTCCCTCTCCCTTCCTCTCTCTGAAATCAATAAAAATATATTACAAAAAAACCCACATTATTCTGGAATTGAGTTAGATGTATTCTGAGGACTTTGTGATTCTTCAGTGCAGCTTATGTGTCAGCTCACTGAATGGTTCAGTTCCTTCCATATCACTGTACGTGTTTTCAGAAGTTATTTCCATATTGACTAAGGAAAGGAAAGTTTCTTTTAAAAAAATGTCTACAGGAGAGTAATGTAACCTGCCAGGAATACCTCTGTCTCTGCACTGTTTTTCTAGTTAGGTAACTGAAAGGAATTAAAACACCAATTTGGCCTAACTAAGGGAAAGACCCTAGAATATTTTTTAAAGTTAATTATCTTGACCTGTGATACTGCTAAGCTAAAATGTATTTGCTTTTAGCTTTGATCAGAAAATCCAATTTAGCTGTCTCAGTGAAAAGTCTATTTCTCATGAAACAGAACATCCATTCTAAGGAAAATATGTAGTAGCAAACATTCCAGCATGAAAATTAAAGAAAACCCCCACATATTTTCTTTAAAAAGAACACTGGGAACAATCTAGTGACACAAGTGAACGGATCCGACACTGGTAACATTTCCAACATATGCTAACCGAATGCGGCTGCTCTGCTCTGAAGGTTGGGTGGGAAATGAGGCTGCAGGACTCAGCTGGTGAAGAAGGTCAAGGCCCATAATCTCAGTTTGGAGAAAGGGACATGCCATCTTTGCCAAAAGGCAACAGTATTTGAAATGTTGGTTCCTTGAAATTTTCAGACCTTACAACAACAACAACAACAACAACAACAACAAAATGTGTGCATAAACTGAAGGCTACAGAAAATCAGTTTCCATCTCGACAGGCAGGATTTATTATCCACTACTTGGACGGGCAAACTTCCTCCGTTTGTTTCCGTAAGATTTCTCCCGAAGCTCAGACATTACATAATGTGCAAACACCGCAAGGCCTAAAAGTCAAGCTGGCATGTTGAAGGTCATTGCCTGGATGCAGGCCACAGAGAAGCAGGTCTGCAGGGGGGCTGTCCAGAGGGCACAGTGAGAATGGCCCCTGAGAAGGATCTTGGGCCTGGTTTTCCTTTCTCTTGATAACCCCTCTCTTTGTTTAACCTGAAAACCAGACTGCCAATTCAAGTGGCCGATCACTTTCACCATTCATGGGATACAAGCTTGGGAAGAGTCCATGAATCACCTGTAATGGGCAGTGTCTTACAAGTATCGTTTCCTCTCAGCTGGGACCTTCTTCTATTTGTAATAAGCAAGGTAACAGGAATCACTTAAGGGATGGCCAGGGCAAGCCTGGGCAAAGGTGGCTTCTATTGTAGTTGTTGCAAGAGGAGGCGAGGGTGACATGGGACTCAAAGGGGATGCTGGGAACAGCTGGCTAGGAGGATTGAGATGCTTGGTTAAGGAGCATCTGAGAGTCACTACTAGGAGACTGAACCAAGCACCCTAAGAAGAAAGAAGACAGGTATTCTTGCCCCTTTATCTTTACCCAAGGTTACACAGACTGAGTGGCCAATGGGGAAAAAATACCCAGAGATCACTGAAGTACTGGTTACCTGAACATCAGAAGGCCAGGTCTAGAATGAAGAGGGGAAAAAAAATCAGAGGAGGAAGGGTTGTCAAAAATAGGAGGGCTGTGCTCCACATATTTGTTTGCAGGTTGGTTGTTTGGATCAGAGATGAAGCAATGTGGCTGAGCGTTCAGTTTGATTTACACTTACAGGGTCTGCTTTGCATATAGTATATCTACTATGGATGTGTGGGAAAGGAATCCCAGGCTTCTCCAAGCAACAATGCATATAGCTTGGAAGGCTCTAGCTGCCGAGTCACGGAGAGGAATGTGTCCTAGTCTCCAAACTGTCTCGCTCCTTGATGCCTGCACGTGGGGCTGCTGGAAGATGCAGCAGGCCAGTCACTGCAGCTTATGAAGACTATTTCTCTCAAGCTGCACTTTCACAATACATTGCTAACCTGTTTTTACTAACCAGAAGAAATTCAGAGGATTTTCACATAAAAACAAAACAAAAAACATTACACACTAATGTTGGTCTTTCGTAAAAGTGAGGTAGCATAACACCCACTTTTGGAAAGTCTGAAGTCTACTGTCTGATACAGGTCTCCCCTGCTCTCTGGAAGTACAGCATTCCTTTCTCTCAAGGGCAGCTTATGCAGACTACTTCTTTACGAGGGTGTTTATAGTTCTGCTATAGAAACTTCAATACAAACTGGAAAACACCTTTAATAATTACCTGTTTGTTTTAATTAAAAACATGAAAAACTTGATTATTTGTTATAGGTAACATACTACAATCAGCCCTCTGTATCCATGGGCCACACCTCTGCGAATTCAATCAGTCTCAGGTAGAAAATATATTTTTTAAAAGCACAGAAAGTTCCAAAAAGCAAAACTTGGATTTTCTATGTGCTGAACAGTATGCTAAGTCCACTCAAATGAACTGAGGTGTAGGCATACCCTGCAGTAACCTACATGCAGATACAAGTTACATGCAAATATTACATCATTTTATACAAGGGACTTGAGCATCTTGAATTTTGGTATCTACGGTGGGTCCTGGAACCAATCCCCTATGGATACTTCAGGACAACTGTATATAGGTCATTAAATACACATAGAGAAACAAGTAAAACTTTCTTGTATCCTATGTTCTGATTTTGGTTTAGAAAATGTTTTTAATTGATGTATTTAGGCCATTTACATTTAATGTAATTATTGATATGTTAGATGTTGTGTCACTTTATTATTTGTTTTCTATTTTTTTGTTTCTCTATGTTCTTTATTTTGTCTTTCTATGTATTACTGAATTTCTTTCTATTTTGTTTTGTTAATCCTCACTCAAATATATTTTTTTTCCATTGATTTTTAGAGAGAGTGGAAGGGAAGGGAGAGACAGCGAGAGAGAAACATCCATGTGAGAGAGAAACATCGATTGGGTGCCTCGTGCATGCGCCCTGACTGGGCCAGGGATCAAGCCTGCAACTGAGGTATGTGCCCTTGACTGGAATCAAACCCGAGACTCTTCAGTCCATGGACTGATGCTCTAACACTGAGCGAAACCAGCTAGGGCTACTGAATATGTTTTAGAATTCCATTTCTATTTACTTGTGGTGTTTTACAGTATCTCTTTGTATAGACTTTAAAGTGGTTACTCTAGGTATTGTAGAGTGTATATAATATACACACACACACACACACACACTAATAAAAGAGAAAGATGCAAATTGACCATACCTTTGCAATGCCCACCAGCCAATCAGGAGTATGCAAATTAAACCAACAAAGATGGTGGGTTAATTTGCATACACATGTGCCAAGCGGCCAGGGGCGGGATGCTTGCGTCGTCGCCATGGCGACGACACAGGCATTCCGTACTGCCCCAGCCACTCAGGGCCTCTGGGCAGAGTGGGAAGGTGGAAAGGCGGCTCTGGCCAGAGCCAAGGCGGTGCTGGCAGCCAGGGGAAGGAAGGCCCATTCTTGCACGAATCTTCGTGCATCGGGCCTCTAATATATATATATATATTGTCTATTGGTATTGATGTCTTACCAGTTCAAGTGAAATGGAGAAACCTTACTTCCTTTTTTGTTCCTTTACCCTCCCCTACTTATAATATAATTGTCTTAAATACTTCTTCTGTATACATTTAGAACCATATCAGTGTTACAATTTTTGCTTCAACTGTTAAAAATAATTTAGAGATCTCAAGAGAAGAAAAATATAATTCCTCACTTTTTCTTCTGTTTTTTCCTTTCTTAATGTTTCAAGATTCCTTCTCTTATCACTTCATATCTAGAGAACTTCTAACAGAGATTCTTTTATGCTACATCTTATAGTTACAGATTCCTTTGGTTTTCCTTCATTGGAAAATATCTTAATTTCCTCTTTTTCCCCCTGAAGGATATTTTCACTGAATATATAATTCTGTATTGATGGTTCTTTTCTTTTTGCACTTGAAATATGTGTCATATGTGATGAGAAACCAGCTGTCATTCAAATAGAGTTTCCTCTATAATTAATGTATCATTTCTCTCTTGGTGCTTTCAAGATATTTTCTTTGTTTCAGCTTTTAAAAGTATGGTTATGATGTACTGTGTGTGGTTTTCTTAGGGTTATTCCGTTTAGAATTCATCTAGCTTCTTGAATCTGTAGGTTTATGTCTTTTGCCAAATTTGGGAAATTTCTATTTATACTGATCTATCCTCGTGTCTACCAATTCTTTCTTCTGTCCCTTCCACTTTCCTGGTGAGCTTTTCCATTTTCAATTTTTAAAATAAGTTATTTTTTAATCTTACTGTATTTTTCAGTTCTAAAATTTCCATTCAGTTTTTCTTTAAATCTCTTTCCTGACGCTTTCTATTTTTTTCATTAGTTTCAAACATGTTCACTAATTGCTCATTGAAGCATTTTATAATGGCTGCATTAAAATCTTTGCCAAATAATTCTCTGTCATTTTGGTGTTGGCATCTATTGTCTTTTTTGATTCAAGTTGAAATTTTCTGGGTTTGATTCCTGGTCAGGGCATATACCTAGGTTGCCGGTTTGATCCTCAAGTATACTTTGTACAGAAAAATTCTTTCTCACCTTTCTGCAGCTAGAGTGGAGAAATAGCAGGATAAGGTTTAAACTTAAAGTTTGAAGAGTCTTTTCTATTTATCAAACAGAACTCCCCTCACTCTATTCTCATTTTATTTCTAGTTTTAAACTTTTGGAAGAAAAAAATCCAACATAGAATTCCTTGGTTGATATTCATCCATTGTCTGAGATTATTCTCTTAATGCTTTCTGATACAAGAATAAACCCATACATTTTAAATGTACTTACCAAGGCAGAATGGCTCCAACACACTAAGGACCGAAAATTCACTCTGCAGGTTCATCCTTTGAAGGGCCATTCTGATCAGCCAGGACTTGATTGTCTCCGGACATGGTTTAAGTAATAAGTAGCTAGGGACATAGAGAGCATATCGAAGCCAGCACAGAAATGGAGTGGCAATCCTGCCGTTGGGTGACTCGGACATTCGCTCAATTGTTGGAAAGAGCAGAAAGGAGCGAATTATCTACAAGAGAAAGCATATGTTGATGAAAAGTTTCTTAAGGGATAAATAACCTAATGATTTATTGTTTCTTCTATGTAGCATCGACAAATGTCTGGGTTTTGGAATATGACTAAAGATTTGTTCAGACTAAGAATCACCACCCACTGCCATCTTAGCCCACAACCAATTTGGGTAGGATATTAGGATGTCCCTTGAATTGTTGGGGTTAATTTTCAGGGTGAGGAGGAAATCAGATTCCTAGGTAACTTCTTGACTGTGACAGCAATTCAGAATCCCTTTGAAGGGTTGATGCAAGTAGATATATACTATTTTAGTAGTTATAACAACTCAGAAGAAAGTAGAGCCACATAAAAACTCTTTATCTAGTCAGCATTTCTTTTATTGATTATATTTGGGGATAGTCCACTTTTGAAAACCTCCTCTAGTTCTTAATCTTACCAGCCAAAGATAATCTTTAATAAGACCAAATATATTTCTAACAACTGATTCAACCTTAATAAAGTGCAGGCCAGGGACAAGTGAAGCTGGAAATCTCTATCTACATGGGAAAATGTTTAAGGACAAAAATATCATTTCAACTGAATTCCTTATAATATAAGGAAATATATTTTAAAAATATCCCAGAAGAAAAAAGAGCATCACTGAACATCTTAAATTTACCATCATTAATATTTAAAAATTAATATATAAAAATAATTTTTATGAGGAATCAAAAGTCAAAACAATAAAGCACAATCCCCTATCAAAAATAAAGTAAAAAAATGGAATAGAGCATTAATGTTACCAGATTGTACAATGAACACAATGGTTTTGCTTTTTTTAAAAAAAAAACAACCTCTTATATTGTTAAGTATAACACATACTGAAAAGTATACAAAATTTAAATGTAACATTTAACAAATAATTTATAAGATGCATGGTTATGTGGGTCAAGAAACAAAACATGGCTACCATGGCATTTTCTAATCACAACTCCTTTTTCTGCTCATACCTTAGATAACCTCTATCCTGACTTCCTGACTATGCTTTATATGAATACTCATCATCCCTTAATATTATAATCACTTCCTTGTTTTGCTTTTCATTATTACGTTTCATCCTGTCACAGAATGAACTGTTTTGCCCCAAATGTATATGTTGAAGCCCTAACCTCCAACGTGACTGTATCTAGGATAGGTAATTAAGGTTAATGAGGTCATAGGGTGGGGCTGATAAGATTACTTATCCTTACAAGGAGAGACCCCAGACAGCTGCTCTCTTCCTCATCACACACAAAGAAGAGGTCTGGTGGCCTGGTGAACACACACAGGGAGAAAGTGGCCATCTACAACCCAGGAAGAAGTCCTACCAGAAACCATGCTGGCATGTGGCTCTTGGACTTCCAGCCTCCAGAGAAAATAAATGTCAGTTGTTTAAGCCACACAGTCTATGGTATTTTGTTATGGCAGTTCCAGCAGACTAATACATATCCCTTAATACTATAGTTAATTTCTGTCTGTTAATGAACTTTACATAAATGCAATCATACACTACATTTGCATGTTTTACTTCCTTGACTCAACATTGCCTATAAGATTCACCCATGTTGATATATGTAGCAATAGATTATCTTTGCTATATAGTTTTCCGTTGTATGAACATACCTCAACTTATTTAGTTTACTGATAGATATTTGGGTTGATTTCAATCCAGAGGAACTATAAATATGCTGCCATGAACTATATATTTTTATACATGTCTCTTGGTGCATGTGTGCATGTATTTCTGTTGACTATATCAGCTCGAAGTAGAAAGAGTGGGTCATATGGTATCCATATGTTCAGCTTTAGTAGATAATTCCAAATAGATAATTTCTATTTAGTAGATAATTTCCAAGGTAGTTGTACCAATTTACTCCCCTAACAACAGACATGAGAGTTCACACTGTTTCCTATCTTCACCATATTTGGTACTGGCAAACTTTGTAATTTTGACTAACCTGATATAGCGGTATCGCCTTGTGGTTTTGATTTGTGTTTCTGATGAATAATAAGGTTGGATAGCTTTTAAATGTTTATTGGACATTTTCTATATCATCTGAAGTACTTATTCAAGTCTCTTGCATATTTTTCTATTAGGCTTCCTGTCTTTTTTTTCATATTGATTTGTAGGAGCTGTTTTTTATTCCACATACCAGTCCTTTTTCTTGTGTCAGTCCTTGGCTTGCCTGTTCAACTCGTATTATTCTTTTTTTTTTTTTTTTCATAATGGAGATAAGTCCTTAAGTTTGATGCAGTTGAGTTTAACAGTTTTTCTTTTATAGTTATTGTTCTTTGTGCCTGGTTCAAGAAATTCTTCTCTAACCTCAAATCATGAAGATATATTTTCATTCAAAATGTTTTAGGAATTAGATAATACTACCTCTTATCTGTTCTACAGTGTGGGTCTAAGCCTTCGTTGTGTTTAGCTTCAGTGTGAGTCTGTTCCTGTGATTTCAGGTATCAGTCACTTGCCATTTCCCTTACGTATTACATTCCTCCCTCTGGATGGGCTGAGTGCACTTTTCCCGTCAGAATCTTAGAGAGAAGGTGGGTTTGGGTGGACTTGGTCTCTTGTCGTTTTTCATAGTAACCTGTTTGAGGGCATTGCCCAAACATTAAAGTTGATCAGGTAGCACCTGTAATTCTGCCTTCAGGTCTCTCTTATTAATAGAGAAAAGGGATTTGAGGGTGAAAACTGTGGAGGACTCTTTTCTTTCTAGCCATATCCTCTTGTTTTCCCTTGGTCATATCTGTCAGCTAACTGCTCAGCCATTTCCTGTAGACTTTTCCTTTGCTCTCAACAATGACAGATCATTTTTGGTCACAACAACTCGACCTCTACTAGATTTCCTCCTCTGTTACGTAAGTAAGAATGTACTGTTCCTGAACACCAACATGGCCTTGATGGAGAATAAAAGACATTCTTTGGGAGCAGGGAATCACAGCCTTTTCAGGTGATTTTTAAAATTCTGGCTTGGCAACAACAGATTGCAAAATACTCGTAACACACTTTTCAAATGGATTCAGGGTTTCAGCCAGAATACAGGAGTTTCTGCCACCTTGGCATCTTCTCAAGCACCAAGCTGAGATGCTGGATGGACTGTTCTTAATAAAGGCCTTCTGAGGCATCCACGGGAATTATAATGATATCACTGTCCACTCCAGAATGTCAGGGATGATCCAGAATCCTCCCATCAGAGCCGGCTGCCAGAAGTGCAATGGGTTTATACAAAGGTCATATACAGTTGACCCTTGAACAATGCGGGGCTCTGGGGTGCCCACCCCCATTCAGTAAAAAATCTGCATGTAACCATTGAGTCCCTCCAAATTCAGTCATCTCTTGATATCCAGGGAGGACTGGTTTCAGAAAACCTGTGGATACCAAAATCTGCAGATGTTCAAGTCCCCATATAAAATGTAGAACATGCATACACTCAGCTCTTGACATCCAAGGATTCCCAACCGTGGACTGAAAATATTGTTCTTGGTTACGGGTAAGCGGAGTATGTAGCACAGGCATTATAATGACAATTACCTTCAGCTGCAGGAGCTCAAGTAAAGAACCTAACAGCTTTCACACGTCTCCGGTTCTCTCCACTCCTGTATAAAGTGGCTATGCCACCGCTTCATCTTTGCATTTTAGTCCCAAGACATTCTTCGGGACTTCTCCTAATGCCTCAAAGACAAGTGTGACTGCCGCCTCAGATGTGTGCAATGTGCCCTTCAGAGTAGCAAATGTTAAGAAATCTAACAATACAAGTAATAAAGACGTGGATCCAAAGGACCTCTTACACACGGCAGGGATCGGTAGACGCCGCTCTTCTGTTTCTGAAAGGACAGTCACTCCAGTGGGTGTCTGGAGCTCACACAGAAAGTGACTTTTCATCACACTGTCTGTTAGCAGTTCAGTCCAGGGAGCTGGCATCCCACTTGGACACCAAGCAGCATGCTTTACAAATGTGAGAGGTAGAAATGATGGCAAGTTTGCTAGCATCTGGAGTGCTGCCACAATTAAGCATGGATGCCACCCCTTCACCTTCAGAATTCTTCTACCATCTTTTGGGTAGTTCTAATAAATGAGTCCTTTTATTCCTGCAAGTGATATTGGACTTAACAAAACTAGAGAGATTTAAACAGAGGTGGATTCATAAAAAGCAATCTGTGGTGTTAAGAGAGGTAGCATTTCCCATTACCCTGCCAGGCCTCCCAGCTGAGGGGCTGAGAGAAGCCACCTTCCCTATCCTGGGAAGAATTCTCCGTCAAGGATGAGAGCAGGCTTTTTGATAGCAGCTGCAGTGGCAGCAAAGGAGATGGTGAAGAAACGGACTTCTCAGCCTCGGTCAAGCGCAGCCCCACCTGGATCTATAAGCTATGGTAAAGAAGCCAGGCCGGTCAAGTTCAGTCACTGCAGGCTCCTTGGCAGCCAATATTCTTCAATAATACCTCTAAAAGCTCTATGGTCTAGTCTTTCACATTTAGGTTTATAATCAACCTGACATGAGTTTTTGTGTTTGGTATGAAATATGGGCCTAATTTAATTCTTTTCCATATGGAAACCCAATTGCCCCAGCACTAAGTGCAAAGGCTGCCCTCCCCTGCTTTTCTGCAGTGACACTTCTGTCGTAAATCCCGTGTATATGCAAACAGGTCCTTTTCAGGGCTCTCCAATCTGTTCTACCAGCCTGCTTGTGCAACTCAGTGACACGGGCACAATGCCTTATTTACTAAAGCTTATAATACACTTTGATATTGGGTAGAGTTGGTTAAACCCCATCTTGCTCTGCAAAAATGTCTTGGGTAGTTTTGGCTCTCTGCATGTCCATATACATTTTGGAATTGGCTATTCAAGTTCCATAAACATCTTTTTGAGATTCTGATTGGGACTGTACTAAATTTATAAATTAATTTGAGGAGAAGTAATATCTTTACAATATTGAGTTTCCCAACCCATGAACATGCGTAGTTCTCCTTTTATTATAA